ACTCTTTTTTTCAAATTTCTCATTGTTTTATTACTTTATCTTTCAATTTATATTCATCATGGTTTTATAGTATTCTCTTTCTTTTCATATTCATAATTACTTTATGACATTATCTTTCTTTTCATATTCATTATTGTTTTCCGGAATTCTCTTTCTTTTTATATTTATCATTGTTTTATAGTATTTTATTTCTTTTCATATTTATCATTGATTTATGACATTTTCTTTCTTTTCATATTTATCATTTATCTATTACACACTCTTTTTTTTCAAATTTTTCATTGTTTTATTACTTTATCTTTCAATTTATATTCATCATGGTTTTATAGTATTCTCTTTCTTTTCATATTCATAATTACTTTATGACATTATCTTTCTTTTCATATTCACCATTGGTTTATGGTATTCTCTTTTTTTTCAAATTTCTCATTGTTTTATTACTTTATCTTTCAATTTATATTCATCATGGTTTTATAGTATTCTCTTTCTTTTCATATTCATAATTACTTTATGACATTATCTTTCTTTTCATATTCATTATTGTTTTCCGGAATTCTCTTTCTTTTTATATTTATCATTGTTTTATAGTATTTTATTTCTTTTCATATTTATCATTGATTTATGACATTTTCTTTCTTTTCATATTTATCATTTATCTATTACACACTCTTTTTTTTCAAATTTCTCATTGTTTTATTACTTTATCTTTCAATTTATATTCATCATGGTTTTATAGTATTCTCTTTCTTTTCATATTCATAATTACTTTATGACATTATCTTTCTTTTCATATTCATTATTGTTTTCCGGAATTCTCTTTCTTTTTATATTTATCATTGTTTTATAGTATTTTATTTCTTTTCATATTTATCATTGATTTATGACATTTTCTTTCTTATCATATTTATCATTGTTTTGTATTGTTAACTTTCTTTTCAAATTTCTCATTGTTTTATTACTTTATCTTTCAATTTATATTCATCATGGTTTTATAGTATTCTCTTTCTTTTCATATTCATAATTACTTTATGACATTATCTTTCTTTTCATATTCACCATTGGTTTATGGTATTCTCTTTTTTTTCAAATTTCTCATTGTTTTATTACATTATCTTTCTTTTCATATTTATTATTGATTGATTATATTTCTTTTCCTTTCATATTCATAATTGGTTTACAGTATTTATCATTGCCACATGGAATTTTATTTCTTTTCATATTTATCATTGTTTTATAAAATTCTCTCTATATTAATGAATGCCTCCTTAGTATTGCAATCAAAAAGAATTTAGTTGAAATTGTCAAATTCTTAGTTGAACATGATGCTAATGTTAACATGGATTTTGTTTTCTTACTTTTCATATTCATAATTGCCTTATTCAATTCTAATTCTTTTGATATTTATCATTGTCTTATGGAACATCCTTTCTTTTCATATTTCCCATAGTTTTATTACATTATATTTCTTTTCATGCACATCATTATTTGATGAAATCCTCTATCTTTTCATGTCTATCATTGATTTATAGCATTCTCATTCTTATCATATTCATCATTATTTGATGAAATCCTCTATCTTTTCATATTCATCATTATTTTTTAATGGAATCCTATTTCTTTTCATATTTATCATTTTTTTATGATATTATATTACTTATCATATTTATCAGTATTTTATTGGATTCACTTTCTTTTCATATTTATCATTGATTTATAACATTCTCTTTCTTTTCATATTTATCATTGATTTATAGAATTCTCTTTCTCTTCATATTTATCATTGCTCTATCACATTCTCTCTATCTTAATGATTGCCCCCTTAGTATTGCAATCAAAAAGAATTCAATTGAAATTATCAAATTCTTAGTTGAACATGGCGCTGATGTTAACATGAAACTTTTTCTTTTTCTTTTCATATTCATAATTGTCTTACAAATTTCTATTTCTTTTCATATTTATCATTGTCTTACAAATTTCTATTTCTTTTCATATTTATCATTGTTTTATTACATTAGCTTTCTTTTCATATTTATCATTGTTTTATAGCATTCTCTTTCTTTTCATATTTATCATTTAATTATTACATTCTCTTTTTTTCAATTTTATCATTTGTTTAATTAGTTCCCTGTCTTTTCAATTTTATCATTGGTTTAATTTATTTTCCTTCTTTTCATATTTATCATTGTTTTATAGCATTCTCTTTCTTTTCATATTTATCATTGATCTATAAAATTTTCTTTCTTTTCATATTTATCATTTATTTATGACATTTTATTTCATTTCATATTTATCATTTATCTATCTCATTCTCTTTCTTATCATATTTATCATTAATTTATGAAATTTTCATTCTTTTTATATTTATCATTTATTTATAAAATTTTCTTTCTTTTCATATTTATCATTGTTTTATGACATTAGCTTTCTTTTCATATTTATCATTGTTTTATGAAATTCTCTTTCTCTTCATATTTATCATTGTTTTATGAAATTCTCTTTCTCTTCATATTTATCATTGTTTTATGAAATTCTTTCGATGTTAATAAATGCCCCCTTAGTATTGCAATCGAAAAGAATTCAATTGAAATTGTCAAATTCTTAGTTGAACATGGCGCTGATGTTAACATGAAACTTATTCTTTTTCTTTTCATATTTATCATTGTCTTACAAATTTCTATTTCTTTTCATATTTATCATTGTTTTATTACATTAGCTTTCTTTTCATATTTATCATTGTTTTATAGCATTCTCTTTCTTTTCATATTTATCATTTAATTATTACATTCTCTTTTTTTCAATTTTATCATTTGTTTAATTAGTTCCCTGTCTTTTCAATTTTATCATTGGTTTAATTTATTTTCCTTCTTTTCATATTTATCATTGTTTTATAGCATTCTCTTTCTTTTCATATTTATCATTGATCTATAAAATTTTCTTTCTTTTCATATTTATCATTTATTTATGACATTTTATTTCATTTCATATTTATCATTTATCTATCTCATTCTCTTTCTTATCATATTTATCATTAATTTATGAAATTTTCATTCTTTTTATATTTATCATTTATTTATAAAATTTTCTTTCTTTTCATATTTATCATTTTTTATGACATTAGCTTTCTTTTCATATTTATCATTGTTTTATGAAATTCTCTTTCTCTTCATATTTATCATTGTTTTATGAAATTCTCTTTCTCTTCATATTTATCATTGTTTTATGAAATTCTTTCGATGTTAATAAATGCCCCCTTAGTATTGCAATCGAAAAGAATTCAATTGAAATTGTCAAATTCTTAGTTGAACATGGCGCTGATGTTAACATGAAACTTATTCTTTTTCTTTTCATATTTATCATTGTCTTACAAATTTCTATTTCTTTTCATATTTATCATTGTTTTATTACATTAGCTTTCTTTTCATATTTATCATTGTTTTATAACATTTTCTTTCTTTTCATATTTATCATTGTTTTATGAAATTCTCTTTCTCTTCATATTTATCATTGTTTTATGAAATTCTTTCGATGTTAATAAATGCCCCCTTAGTATTGCAATCGAAAAGAATTCAATTGAAATTGTCAAATTCTTAGTTGAACATGGCGCTGTTAACAAGGAACAGATTCTCTTTCTTTTCGCATTTATCAATATCTTTTAAAATTATCTTTATTTTCAAGTTTAGCATTACTTTATTAAATTTTCATTCTTTTCATATTTATTATTGTTTTATAACGTTCTCTCTAACTTAATTAATGCCCTCTTTAGTTAAGCGCATTTATAAGATTATCTAATATTTTTTCCAATCGTGTGATTCTATCACGCATTATTTTATAATAAACATTCCATAATTTAATATTTTACTTTATTATCACACTCAAATTTGAATCATCTTTCAATTATTTCGAAAATAATATAATCTTATTATTGGATGTTGAATTAAAAAAAAAAAGGCATTGGGGCTTCCAAGCGCGTTGCGCCCTCTAGCCCCGAAGATGTTTAGTATAAAACCGCTTTTTAACTTCACTTAAAATGCCACGTAAGCTACGTAAGAATATACGTAAGAGGAAGGGAGCATTGAAACATCCAATAGTAAGACTGACACCACAACAACAGTTGCAACAACAAATGCTGAATGACCCCACTATGTTGCAACAAATGTCAAGCAATCCTATGCTTTTAAACCGAGTTGTTGGTGCACAGAGTGGAGGTTTAAGAGCGGCACTTTTAGCGAAAATGGCAGGCTATGGTGGAGCTGCAGACGGAACAGCATATAACCCTCAAAGTCAAATGAATTTGAGTTCACTCAAAAATCAAATAGCAGATGTCAAAAAGTCAAACATAGACATACAGAAGCAAATAGGTGAAAACGAAAAGAAACTAGAATATGACAGACACACAAAGAAACTCAATGAGTTAAACGTAGAGAAAAAGAAGAAAGAAGAACAACTGAAAGAACTAAGTACGGAAATATGCAAAAAAAGTGTCAGAAAAAGCAGCAGAAGTAGCAAAAATGGAACAAGATGTTGTAAATTTGAAAAACCATACTACTCGATATAAAGTACTGAAAGATGAAGAGATAAAACAAAAAGCCCTGAAGACATATATGGATAGCGATGAGTATAAAAAAGAAGTTGAAGCAAATGTAAAGGCAGAAAAACTTTTACAGTTGCAAAACCAAACCGTACAGTATGAAAACTTAGCACAAGAAAGTAAAAATAACGACGCAGCCATGCAAAAGGCAATGAAAAGCGCAGAATATATAAAAGCTAACAATGACTGGTTAGATGCCCAAGCCAACGCTAAAGCAGCCCAGCTTATAGGGTCAATAAGGACAAAAATACAAGCGGATGAAGACAGTTCAAATGAAACTTTAACAAATGCTGACTTTAAGAACGCCTTCGAAGCTCTTCATAGTAAGGTGAAACAAGTGAACGACTTCTCATCTGGAAAGAAACTGAAGTCTGAAGGTTTCGACAAAGAGTTAAGAGAAGTAGCACAAAATATGACGAAAATAACAGATGCAGCAACGAGACAGGCAGTTCAAAGTGCCTATGACGCCGTTAGAGCAACTGTTGTGAAAAGTCAAGAAAAAGAGTTACAACAGACCAAAACAGACCTAGTAAATGCTTTCTTAAAAACGAAAAGTCAGGTAGGACATTACGCTGCAGATGGAACATATGTGCCAGCTGGTGGAACTTATATACCAGCTGGTGGAACTTATATACTAGCTAGTGGAACTTATATACCACCAAACCCTCCAAGAGAAGCACCTGCACCAGGACTACCTAAAACATTTACATCGTCACATGGACACAGACACAGGCATGCACCAAAACCAACACAACAACCAACAGTTCAAAACCCTGCACAACAACCACCTCCACAACCAGCACAACAACCACCTCCACAACCAGCACAACAACCACCTCCACAACCAGCACAACAACCACCTCCACAACCAGCACAACAACCACCTCCACAACCAGCACAACAACCACCTCCACAACCAGCACAACAACCACCTCCACAACCAGAGCAAGGACATAAAAGAAGTAGAGAACAAGGAAACCAAGAATTCTTAAAAATGCTTAAAGAAGACTATGGTTACCCAGATACTATTGACTTTAGTGACAGATATAAAGAAGCTATTAGAAAGTTCAAGGATGGAAATGCTGACCCGAACCTATTTAGCTTTATGGCTCAGCACCAAATCGGATATAATTTCAAACCTGGAAAATACAAGCTCGCAAAGGGATATGATTTAATAGCATATCATCCAAATGACATGAACGAATTTACTCCGAGATATTTGGTGTCAGAGCTAAATGAAATTCAACTATCTTCATGAAACGCGTAAAAAATAGAGACGGAACGAAAGAACAAAGGCTTATGAATGCGGATGACTTAAATAGGGAACTTGTTGAAAACGGTCTCGGAATATATGAAATGCCAGCAGATGAGGTACAAGAAACTCCACAGGAAGAAGTTCAGATACAACCAGACATGGAAGAAATAGTTCAGCAACAACAGCTAGAAGAGCCTGAAGGAAACGAACAAGTCCTCCTTTGGAAACTAACTTCACAGAACTAGATGAAGATTTGGAACAGCCGAAAAATCTTGACCCTCAACAAGAGTATGCGGAGAATATGGAATATTTCCAAGAGTCTAAAAAAAATTCGGCTGACATAGTAGAAGAATATCGAAAAATGTTTGCCGACATACAAAAGACTCCAACACCAGATGAAAATATTCAGCATAGAATGGAAGTACTGAAAGAAAATGTACACAAATACAACAACCCTTTTTACTTACGAGCATTTAACGTTCAATCTTGGATGAACTCGGTGAAAATAAAAGGTTAAATTTCAAGAAAACATATAGAAATGAAACATTGTTTAAAGTTCATTCAGAACCTAACCAAGATGGAAACAAACCTACTTTTGTTTCTGCAGACGATGGAACTACAATGAGATGGGGTCATAAAGCTAATCCGGATAGGTGGTTCATAAACTTACAACCACAATTCCAAGAAGTTGTAGACGCAATGGAAGTCAATGGTGAACCAGATATAGCTGGTATTTTAAGCGCGGCTTTAATGCCATTGAAAGATATGAAACATGCAGATATTTTGGACCAGTATGAAATGAACATGGCTGATGGAAATATAACACCTGACGTTCTAGAACATTTATCTCAAAGAACTACACAGAACCATAGAGATGGTATATTTGGTGAAGAGTTTAGAAAGAAAGTTAGGGAGGAGAAGGAAGAGAACCTATTGTACATGACCTTGCAAACGAAAGTTTACAAAATGTCATAAAAACTTACTTTGCAGACAATGAACTGAGAAGGGATGAATATTTAAGAAAACTCAAATGGACAGTACCAAATGAAATGTTAGTATTGAAAAACATGTTCCTTGACAAAATAAAACCAACTACAGAAATAAACGACGCAAGACTGAAAGATTGGGTAAAAGCTTTCCCATTCACAAAAGATATTGTTGGTAACATGGAAAGAAAACCAGAATGGCTACAAAAACATATATTTGGAAACGAGCTTATTCCATATGGACAGGCACTGTTTGAAGAGCTTGAACCGGAAACTCAGGAAAGAGTCATGCAAACAATACGCGAAGACTCAAATACAAACTATGACAAACTCTTTCTAGGATATAGGTTACCTGAGATGGGCGACCAGAGCCCAAAGGCAAAAAGGACATGGAAATTTCAACATACTAGTGAACATGAGGCAAAGATGCAACAACTTGAAGCAGAGGGCAAGTTACCAAAAGCGACACCAAAGAAGAAGAGAGTAGAACAAAGTGAAAGTAGTGAAGAAGTAACTTCATCTAGTGAAAGTAGTGGCAATGAAGAAAAAGAAGAGTTAAAAACTCAGTCAGGAAGAAAGTAAAGCTTGGTCCACGTGGGTTCTATTATGACATATAAATCCAACTATTCTATATTTTTACCCATATGAAATGTACGCCGCTCAGAATATAACGCCAACAGTTTTGGATGCCATGAATGGAAATGTTTCCGAATGGTATAACGAATGCGACAATGCCATTAGAAGGTCAGAAATAGTTCCTGGAACTTACGAATATACAACTGCTGTTTCTTATGGAAACGTAGGTGAGTTTGGAGAAGGTTCTTCAACAACAGTAGATATTGCTTGCGACAGGTTTCATATAATTTCTATTGAAACTCTTTCTTATACGTGGAACAAGACATTGAAATAAAACTTCTGCCAAGTTGTCTGACAAGAAAGGTTGCAATGGAATTTTCTATGTCGGATACCAATATGCTCCAGAAGTTTTCATGGATATAAGATATATTCTAACTCTGACTTAGTTCAAACAGTAACATGGGCAAACTATGAATGGTTCGCTTTGAGAAACTCATACAACCACAAGCTAGAGAACAAACAGACCAGTATGCAACTATTTGAGAAAATAAGAAGACTTGACCCTAACGTTCCAGGAGTTTATGTTGACCTTTCTGGACAAACTGCAGCAGCAGTAACCAAAGTAAAACTAAACTTAGAGTTCCTTTGTCATCTTTCCTATCTTCAGGTTTTTAAGATACTTGCCAAACTGGGCAGGAAAAATTTCTATCGAACTTACTCCAAGCAAAAATAACTTGTCATTGCACCAACACAAGACCCATTCACTCTTACAGACGTAAAGGGAGCAAATCAAACGTCATTCGCCGAATTTTGCAAAGACAAAGTTGACTTAGACTTTGGTTTCTCAAACTTCAACACTGAAGTAAACTATTATTTCAATGCTGCTGAAACTGCTTGGGACCCAGTTAAGTTCACATGCGAAAAGTTTGAATGCAAGAGAATAGAAAGCAGACTTGCAGTCTATATGTTTGGACCCAGATATTTTCAAATGCTTTAGCTGCCAATATATTGCAGTTCCACTTATGTTCCTATACACCAAATATCTGTCAAAGACTTTGCAGTGAAGTTGGAAACCAAAGTGCTGACCCAGGTGCAAGAAACAGATATTGCCTTAACAACTGCAATGAAACATGCAGATACTATGTTTGTACTGTTCAGACGAACTATAAATGACTATTCTTGTTTCTACAACCCTGTATTAAATATCATATAAACATAGTGGCAATATTATCCAAGAGAAGAATATTCTACAGTTGAGGATATGAGGTCATACAACTTGACATTAGATGCTATGAACTTTAACAACAACTTCACAAACAACCATTAACCCTGAAATGCAAAGTTCTATTATGCCATATGTGAAAGTGATGGACCCATGCAGGAGGTCAAAAAACTCAATATACAATGGAGACCGTTCAAACTTTTGGCTTGGCATTCCATTTGCTGACTCAGAAGACTTTATGGTGGTATTTCAACTGTTACAGTTCAAATACAATATACTGGTGACAGAGACGTCCAAATGAATTGAAAGCAAAGAAGTTTACAAAACCAATAGCACTTTTCACAGAAATTGCTCTTTTGAAGATTCGTTCGATGAAACCTGCTGGGGCTCCTCAGATTGGTATAACGACAGCTTCCATCGAGCAGATTTTGGCAGCAGGTCAGTAAGTTGTTCTTGAACTGACTTCTCTCCGTCAAATATTGACAGTACGCAGTTTTGATATAATATTGTATTATAACTTACCTTTAGAAATATCGGTCAGTTTTTGTTGTTATATTTTTGTCTGCTTCAAGAACTTTCACCATCTCGGTTATACCAACTTTCTTTGCTTTATGAAAATATTTTGGTTCAGCAAAGACTGCTATTCTATAACATTTTCCATTGTTTGTGTAAAGAACTACTCTGTCAATGAACTTGTATTGTTTGTGTGTGTAAACTTTGTTTTGCTTCAATTCGAAGAGATACTCAAATACGTCCATCTTTTTATTCTAAGTAAATGTCATTTCCGAAAATAGAAGCGTAAGTGTTTCAAAAGGTTTAATGGCGATGGCAGATGTGAAGTTAAATTCACCAACTCAAACAAACAGTCAAAGTGTTGTTGTCAATGTCAAAGACAGAGATGTTGAAGTGGGGAAACCATACGAAGACGAAGATGGTATAACAATAGTTCCTGTAAAAGAAACAACCAACATATCCTGAAGTTAGCAGAGACTTAAGTTCTGTTGCAGATTATTCGAAACGACTACCAACAACTTAAAGACAAACTTAAAACTCAGGAGAAGATTTGTCAAGCTTTAGGTCTAATGTTAAACTTGGTCGAACACAACCCTGTAAAGTGAACTCATATGTCATTGCACCTCATGAAGTTTTGAAAGAACTATTGAAACTTTTGACAGAGGCAGACGATATAAACATCAAAGAAATAGAACCCGACATTGCTTGCTGTGGTGTTTCATATAATGTCATTGACAAGATATACGTTATGAAAGGAGGTGAAACGTTGAACTTAAAATATAGTTTCCCAGACGTCATAAAAATATTTGACGACCACAACATTTCATTAAATTTACTTGCTAAGTAAAAATGGCAAAACTTCTTGAAAGATGTTTGAAGAAAAACAATATAGACTTTATTTCATGTAAAGGACTTTACACACTTTGAACGATATGAAAGACCTGTTTTGTTTGTTCGTGTAGACAAAGGAAAGTTCTATGTCTTTACAAAATATTTGAACTTCTTAGACAGAGAACTTCAAGAAACGCCATGTGAAAGTTTAGATGAAGTTCTTCTCCACTTTCAGAAAAACTTTTAAATATATGTAAATGGCAGAAGACATAGTGGTTTATACTATTACGACTAAAAACCCTGAGTCATATAATTCTATAACAACAAACTTACAAAGTCCTCAAGGACGATATTGTAAACTGACCTTAAACACGATGACGACTAAAGCCTGTTTTGCTCTTTTGACACCAGAAGACTTTGTTGTTGTGAATGGTAAAAAATACTCCTTTGAAGATACTTACTCAGATATACCACCAACAGGTTTTGTTGACTTATTTAATACTTTAAGGACGAGTGTAACATGTGCTGCAACTAGAGCAGGTTTCATTATGTTTGGATGTCCGACTGAGTTTACTATAAACGATATGAGCTATAATACAAAACTTATATCTGGTTTTTACTACCAACAGTTTCCTATAACAGGAAAAGGTGTCATACAAGGAATGTCTGTTCCATTGACTTTAAGTACACCTATTTTATATATTGTTTCAAACTTAGGTTCAAAGTGCTATTCGAATGTCGACAGAAACTACTATGACCAAAAGATACTCATGCGTATAAACAACACTTTCTCTGCTGGTTTGCCTATTGTTCATTCGAATGCAGAGTTTTCAGCTTTAGTAACTCAAACACTTTAGCAAACATAAACTTAACCTTAGTTGACGCAAACTTTGTTCCTGTAAAACTTTTATGTCCTATGTATTTGTCAATGACGGCAGAAAGTTTCGAATTGGAAGATGCAACTGGTGAAAGTTTTGTACTACAAGAACAACTTCAACAACAAATAGCTCAAGAACAACAAATGCAACAAATGGAACAAATGCAACAACAAAGTCAAGAATAAAAAAATATTTTTTTTTATTTTTATAAAAATGTACAGAATAGATGTTTCAGATTTTTATGACTTCCAAGCCTTCAGAAATATGTGTCCATTTAGAGACTATAACAAAGCAGTCGAGAATTTGAAACGTTTAGTCATTTATGTCGACTCTGCCCCAGAATGTTATGTCATGAAAGAATGGGATGTAGTCTTTAACAAACCTAAAGCGACAATAGTTTCAGAACAAGAATGTAAACAGAAACTTAAGAAAATAAAAGTCGTACAAGTTGGCATGAAGATGTTAGATGCTTGGGATATCTTATTGTCAAAGTTAGAAGATTTTTCAGTTCGTGGTATAAAGTTCTATACACCTTCTCCAAACTTCTATTCTATCTTCACTGGATATAAATACGAACAAGTAGAATGGAAAGAAAATGTTATAGAAGCTTGGTTAGACCATGTCAAAGAAATTATATGCAATGGAAACGAAAGAGTCTATGAGTATATCTTATGTTGGTTTGCAAACATCTTACAACATCCAAGTGCTAAAAATGAAACTGCTCTCATTGTAATTGGAAACAAGGAACAGGTAAGAACACTTTCTTTACAGATATCTTATGCAAACTGTTAGAGGGCTATTCGAACCCGAATATGACAAACTTAGAAAACATCTGCGGTAAATTTAACTCTTCAATAGAGAATATGAAACTTATAGTATGTAACGAACTTCAAAGTATAGATACAACAAAAGGTTTTAAACTCAGATGCTTTGAAGAGTCTTATAACAGACAAAGTTGGAGTTGTTGAAAGAAAGTATAGAGACCAAAGAGTTTGTGAAAATGTTGCAAACTTCGTCATGGTTTCAAACAACGCCGTTCCGATGAAGTTAGAAAGTTCTGACAGAAGATATGTAGTTGTCAGAACGTCAGAAGCTCATATGCAAGATACAGAATATTTTGACGACTTAGCAGAAACTTTGACATCTGACTTTTACAACCACTTGTTCTCATATTTTATGACATTAGATATTTCTAAGTTCAATCCAAGACAAATTCCACATACCGAAGAGAGACAAACATTGTTAGAAGCAAACAAGAGTGTATATGAACTGTTCATAGATGAAACTGACTTTGAGTGTTTAGATGAAAGGTCATTGTACGATTCGTATAAACAATATTGTCAAGAGTATGGTTATATGACAGCGTCTAAACGAACATTCTTGGCAAATGTCAAAAGTCTTTTAGACGTACAGAATGGTGTATATACAAAGAAAAATTTTTCTGAGTAAATTTTAAAAAAAAATATTTTTTTATCCGATAGAAAAAATGACGAAATTCATCTCAGTCAACAAGTACATGTCAGGACTTAAAGAAGAACTAGACCCATTCACATATTTGAATGTTTACTTCTACCATTTTGAAAAGTCTACATTTGACAAAGTTTGGAACATCGAACCAGTTAAGTTTGCTATTGTGACTAAAAATGGTGCGAAATTTGAAGACTTAGACATAGAAGGTTTGTTAACAGTCAAAGAAAGTTTTGACAGAAGGTTTTCAAACCTTAAAGAAGGCAAAGCATACAAACTTGTTATACATTATGAACCAAAGAAAGCAGACGACTATGAATATTATGAGTCTAAAGTTGTAGAAGTTCAAGGTAAATTGGGTAAAAAGATTTTAGAGTCTAAGCCGGTGTTTGCTCCTAAAGAGGAAGAGAACATTGACATTGACCCAGAAATGTTCTAAAAATAAAATTTTATTTTTACATGTCAAATTTCTTTTTCTCTGGCTCTGGTTCTTTCTTCTCTTCTTCTACTTTCTTTTCTTTCTTTTCTCTCTTCTTCTTTTCTGGTGGAGTTATGTCAAACTTCTCAGAACCATATTTTTGTAAAAGTGCTTTGTCATTAATAGCTCTTCTATTCTGTTTTCTATTTCATTTTCAAGAACAGCGCATGTGTCTTCTTTGTATTCTAAGAAGTTTTGTTGGACTTCATCTCTCCAAGAGGCGTCATCTCTGTCAACAAGTCTGTCATTGACAAATTTTAAGACTGCTCTGCTTAATGTTTTATGGTTCTTGTCATATTCCCAGAAACAGAACTTTAGAACAAATTCCCCTTTCTTGTTTACACTATGTAAGATTTTATGGTCGACAGATGTTTTGCTGTCGAAAAGCTTGTCTCGAATATAGATAGCGAAATCGCTAGACATTTTCTAAAAGATAAAAATTTTAATTTTTCTAAAAATATGTTAGAAAAAAAGTTTGCTGACATTGACAAAAAATTTGAGAATGTTTTAAACAAGAACAAGAGGAAGTTGGAAAATGCTCAGATAAAACCCATACATGACAAGTTCTTATTTGCTCAGAATGGTATAACAGGTCTAATTGCACCACCTGGGTCGGGTAAGACTTTCACTTATCTTAAAATGGCTGCACAACAACAAGAACTAGATGAGAAGAACCCATTCTATGAGTTAGTAGTCATTTGTAGTACTTCGGGTCAATTTGACCAAACCATCAATTCGTTCAAAGATATTATAAAAAAGTCTAAGTTAGTATGTATAAAAGACTCTGAGTTGTTAGATTGGATAAAGAAGTACCAAAGAAGAGTTTTGAAGTACAATGCTATAAATGAGTATATAAATTCTAAGTTTAAAGACCCAAATGAGGAAATGCAGAGAATATTAGAGAAGAAACACTTCAGAAACAAACAGAAAGAGATAGAATACATTTCGAAGAAATTGCAATCTTACGATTGGAAGACTTACCCTCATAGATGTCTTCTTATCTTAGATGACTTTGCTTCTCATCCTTTGTTAAAGAATAGAGAACAAGACATGTGTCGAATTCTTAAGAAGCTCAGACACTTTAACATCTCAGTTGTCATTTGTGTACAGACAGCCAAGAGTTTAAGTAAGGATGTAAAGAGAATACTTACTGACATTGTACTTTTCCCCGGATTGTCCGAAGACGATTTCATGGAACTTATGAAAGAGTCCATGGCAGGTAAGTTTGACAGACATGAACTATGGGAGAAGTACAAAGTCATACAAGACCCTCATACTTCTTTCAGAATTCATATCTACGCAAACAAAGTTCAAATTGTTTCAAGACAAGCGTAAAAATGTAAGTGTTTGAGTCTTAGTCTGTTGTGGTGCTGGGGCTGTCGGTTCTTCTGGCTTTGGAATGGACTCGGTTGGTGGTACGTCGGACATTCGTTTGTGTCCTGTCGGAAGGAAGGACTTTTCCTGTCGGAAAGAAAAACTTTTCCTGTCGGAAAGAAAAATTTTTCCTGTCGGAAAGAAAAATTTTTCCTGAAGTTCGACCAAAAAGTTCTCAATTTTCGAAAATTTGAATGGTTTACGGACGAACAACAAGAAAAATTTTTCCTGTCGGAAAGAAAAATTTTTCCTGTCGGAAAGAAAATTTTTTCCAGTTGGAAGGAAATTTTTTTCCTGTTGGAAGGAAATTTTTTTCCAGTTGTCGGGAAATTTTTTTCCTGTCGGATGGAAGGACTCGGAATGCCAGAAGGATTTGACAAGACAATTTACCATCTAGAGCTACCTGAGCCATCTGAAGTCAAGACCAAAAATAAATGGTTCATTTACTCTTCCTCTTTGAAGTTATCGAAATACTCTGTTATCTTTTCCTTCAGTAGCGGCAAATCTTCTTTGAATGTAAGTATTGTACAACCTTTCATATCATAGTGTGTTTGAGGTAACGTATCTTGAACTATTTTTTTCACATCTTCATTCGGTGTCATTGAAATCGGTAAGTTTTCGCGATAGAACCAATTTCTGTCAGATTTGTAAATCTTAGCTAAGTCGTAAAAGCTTTTGTTTTTCTTCTGACTAAATGCAACATAACCATATCTCTGTCTTCTTCATTTTCCATCTCTTCAGTGTAAATCATATACTTATAGTTCTTTTCCTTTCCTTTTGGTACCGAACGTGGTATTCTTTTCTGTATGTTTTTGTCTTTTGCTTCAAGCTTGTTCTCTAGCTCTTCACGTTCTTGTCTATGAATTTCATCTAACATCATGAAAATATAACAAGCATAGCGAGGTGAAGCCCACATTGCAACAGCATTTACAAGAAGTCTATGTACATAATATCCTTTCAAACCATTTGGCAAATTTTTACGATTTTCGTACGGAATCTCGTCCCTCGGTTTTCCGAGGGACGCAAACATATGAGGAAATTCTTCTAAAAGTTCTTTTGTCTGTTGGTTTTCAAACCAATGATATGCTTGCTTTGTAGAACGAAGAGTATTCAAAATACTTTGCATTTGGTACATGTCATCTTTGACCGAACGAATGAGACGTAACTGTTTGTTATACTGAACCCACTCGTATTCTTCATCTATATCTTCATGAACGATAGCAGTTGTTGTGTTCTCTGTTGTTGTCATATCTGTCTTTACATACAAAATAAAAAATAAAATAAAAATAAAATTAGCGTTATTTTCTATCTTGTATAAAAGACCAAAAATAAACGCTTTACATGTATTTTTCAGCAACTTCGTCAAATAATTTTATAGCTTTGTCGATCTCATCTACTTCAAACGTTTCTTTACCTTTCGTGGGAGCACCATACATTTTCTCAAACTTTTCAAGTAGTTCTGTTTCAGCAGCTCTCATATCGTTAACAAACACAACCTTGACTCTATTGACTATACTGTCATATCTTTGAGTTATATTATATGTTCTTCCTATCTTATATCTCTTTGTATTGAAGTCCTTCGGTTTCTGAACGATGTAAAGTAAGCCTTCACAGCAACGTTCCGTATCGAATGAACCATATGTTATGAAATTATATCCAACAACTGGGTCAATCCAGAACAAAACTACTGGTATAAGACTTTTGTCTATAAGATATGCTCTTGTTCCATAGAATCTTACCGATATCATAAGCTCAGGATTTCTTGTCAAAATTTTCTGAGTTGAAGCATTTCTAACCCAGTCGTGTGCTTTCTTTTCAGATAGTGTTAGAATGTCTGACAAAGAATATTTTTTGTATTTCTTTGAGTATCTTACGTTTAAATCACCTATTCTAACCACTTTGGTGTCATTGTCTATCTTTTTAACTGTTTCAAACTCAGTGTTTGTCATTTACTGTTCTTACATACAAAATAAAAAATATTTTTTTTAAAAAACTAACGTTGTTTTTTTATCTTAAGGAAATTCATGATTTCAGGGATTTTTTTGACGAAGTGTCAAAGTTCACTTGGTAAAAAAAATACAGTTATATCATGAAATTTGGTCATTTTTTCACGATTTCAGGGATTTTTTTTATGAAGTGTCAAAGTTCACTTCGTCAAAAAAATACAGTTATATCATGAAATTTGGTCATTTTTTCACGATTTCAGGGATTTTTTTTACGAAGTGTCAAAGTTCTCTTCGTCAAAAAAATACAGTTATATCATGAAATTTGGTCATTTTTTTCAGCAAAAATATATTTTAGATCTAACCAGGTCCCTCGGTCCCTCGGTCCCTCGGTCAACTAACATTTTTTTGAAAATGGTGACAACATGACATTTTGACAACAACACAGGAAATAAACTTCTTCGTATATGTTTTGTCAAGACTTTCATTGTCAATGAGCGTAAATCAGACAAAAATATATTTTAGGTGTCACCTCTTTTTCACAAGCGTTTTACATGGTATATGTTGTGATGGTTCATGACTTTAAACAGTTTTGTAGCTTCTATTTCTTCACGAAGGATATCAAAAGTTTTAACGATACCGAATGTTTCTTTATATTTCTTCTTGACATCAGATAGAAGGAAATCGTCAGCAGTTGGATAGTTTTTGTTCAGAAATGTCAACATGTCCATTTTATCTTCTGCTGGTTTCTCTGCTTCTTTCTTTAAGTCAGCATAGTCGTTTCGCATACGTTCTATCTCTTTGACGGAGTAGTTATATTTCCTTGTTGCTGCTTTACATTTTGAACATTGTGGGTTCATTTTAGCATTGTACATTGAAACCTTACCTGCAAGTACAACTAAGGCGTAAATGGTTTTCTTTAACTCAAAGGCTGCTGGTTTTATTTGTCCGTTCCATACTTTACCTCTTCTATCTTTATCTCTTATCTGCCATACACATTTTGCAACTAACGAAACAAAGTTGTCGTAGGTCTTAAACTCCCCAGATTTATATATGTCAATGAAATATACCATATCGCAGTCTTTGTGGTTGCAATGAAATCCAAGAAACTCATAGTTTACCTTACGTATGAACTTCTTTATTTCAACTGAGTCAGTTGCTTTGACTTCTATTTCATCGAATTCTGGAATAGTAAGCTTTTGTTGTTGTATTTCAGGAAGTTTAGGTAGATGTTCCACCAGGTCCTGCATTTCATAAAGATACTGTTCATTTGTTTCATCTTTCGCACTACAGTCTAAATCTCCTTGGAGAAGTTCTTGCTTTATCTTCTGGATTTCTGTTTCGAAAGTATATGAAGAAGGAATGAAGCTTTTCATCTCTACTAACATAGAAGTTGGGTTCATGACTAACGAGTTTGGTGAAGTTGTTGCTGACATGTTCTTACAATAAAAATAAAAAATATTTTTTTTAAAAAAAAACTAAAATATATGTTTTGGTCCGGGAACAACAAAATTCAAGAGTTTTGGTTGAAAAATACGGTGGAGCCAAAAGTGGCTCGACCTCAAAACAAGCATTTTGTGAAGAATATACCAACCCGCGGAATTCCGCGGGTTGCTTTTTATACAAAACATTGACGATGAAGTCTTGACAAAACAAGCATTTTGTGAAGAATATACCAACCCGCGGAATTCCGGCGGTTGCTTTTTATACAAAACATTGACGATGAAGTCTTGACAAAACAAGCATTTTGTGAAGAATATACCAACCCGCGGAATTCCGGCGGTTGCTTTTTATACAAAACATATACGATGAAGTCTTGGCAAAACATTTACGAAGAAGTCTTGACAAAACATTTACGAAGAAGTTTATTTCCTGTGTTGTTGTCAAAATGTCATGTTGTCACACTTTTTCAGAGAAGTTTAAATTACCTGGTGACCTGGTGACCTGGTGACGTAGTGACACCTAAAAACCATCTAACCTAAAATATATTTTTGCCGAATTCAATAAAAATAAAATGGTTCATTTACTCACAATATTTTTGTACAAAACGACCCCAAACTTTTAACTTCTTTTCTGCAGCTTCTAATGCTATCTTAGCGAGTTCATATTCTCTAAATTCTCTCTTTAAATCTTCTTGTTCCCATTGGTCTAGTTCGTATGGAGAGTCTCTATAACCAGAACATATCTCACGTTCATGTTCTATTTGTTTTTCGCACATTTTTCTAACTTCTTGTTCGAACAAAGGTTTTGCATTCTCTACTGTATCTTCAAGTTCTTCTTCATCTAATTTCTCATGAACTTTCTTGTCTATGGAGTCCAGAATTTTTCCAACTGCTATGCAATATTTTGGAGAAGCCCACATTGCTATATAGTTTACAAGTCTTGGGTCTACATACGTTCCTCTAACCTGTTTGATTTCATCGGGAATTCCTGCAGAAATTTTGTATAAAAAGCACCCGCCGGAATTCCGGCGGGTGGTATATTCTTCACAAAATGCCTTAAAATACTCTTCCCAGGACTTATTTTCCAACAACTTTCTAAAGTCTTTCCTAAACTGCTGACACATATTTGTTGCATTTATATAACCATCCTTGTCTCTACGTAAGACTTCAATACCGTTGTAAGTGCCTTTTGTGAATGTTTCGCCATTAGATTTGTTCGTGAACGTTTTTGCTTCGACTGTCATTTCAGTTCTTACAATAAAAATAAAAAATATTTTTTGGTGGTACGTCGGACATTCGTTTGTGGCTTAACCGTCGGACATTCGTTTGTGGCTTAACCGTCGGACATTGTCTTGAAACAGTACAAGTCTTGTTCCACTTCTCGGGTCAGCCGTTCTACATAACCTCAGAAGGCGACATCCAACCAGTTCAGTAAACATCTCATTTTAACTCACTTTTTTTCTATCTTAAGGAAATTCATGAAAATTCAAGAGGGTGAAAAAACAGGTGAGAAAACAGGTGAGATCTCACCTCTTCACCTAAAATATATTTTTCAATACTTTTTCAGCACTTTTCCGTAGTTGTATATGAAAGACAATTCGAGATAAAAGTCATAGTACAATGGAATAATATGCTGCACACCGTTTGTTGTGAACCAAACTTGAAAGTCAGAGAAACTGTTACTAGGTGGTTCGTAGAATTTAGAAGCAAAGTCATAAAAGTCCTTACCGATACACAGAAAACTGTTGTTGCTTGAACTGAAACTTGCATGACACATGACATTTTGAGGGTCAAACACGTTTCTATAAACTTTCAAATCTGCTGGTGGAAGTATAAATTTAAATGGACCATCTGGTGGTAATGGTTCGTTCTGGTTTAGTAACCGAAGAAATTGTGCCCAAGAACGTTTGTCTACTCCCCAATATAAAAACTCTGTATCTCTTGGAGGGTTAATTTCAATCTTTTGAAATGAAACTGTGGAGTTCATCTTGTCATATTCTAGTTTCAGATAGTATGTTCCATTTAGTAAAGAGTGGTATTTTTCTTGAAATTCCCAGTAGTATTTGTTTATTTGAGTTTGAAAGTCATTTAGAGTTTTCTCAAGACTTTCGTCTGAACGAATTGTAAAGATTTTCATTTCGTCAAATTTTTCTATTAGACCATCAGAACCTTTATACTGACCATGAAAATATACTGCGAACATAAACGCGTTAGTTCTATTTGAAAACAAAACTCTTCTAAATCCTATTGCCTTTGCATCTGAAGGACTTTGAAGCCAACGAATTGGATAGTCAAACCTGTATGTTTGGGATGAAATTTCTTCATCTGAAATATTCCTGCCAGCATTTGTAAAGATATAGTCTAACGGTTTTGTATCTGCTACTTTTGTTCTTTGTTTTTCAACCTGAAGCATTTAATATATGTAAAAATATACTGTTTTAAAAACGTTTTTATTTCATGCAATGTTTTATTTCATGCAATGTTTTATTTCATGCAATGTTTTATTTCTGTGCCGTCTTCAAGTATACCCCAGTACTTACGCTTGGAGAGGACATGAACTTCGGAAAATACCTTATCTAGCTTAAAACAGCCCATCTTTTCACCGACCATTCCCATTTCAATGAGTTTGTTATACCCTTCTTCGTTCGTCATGAGTGCGTCAATGTTCTCGTAGTATACCACAACTTTGGATTTGATTTCCGAGAAGAACTCATTGTAGTTGTCAAGGACTGCCTTTGCGAACTGAGGATAAGACCAATGTTCGACAATAGGTTTTAATGTGGTTACTAAGCCATTTTGACCTTCGGTGAACTCGTACTTCAAAACAAAAGGAGAAAACCTTTCAACAAAGTTGTCGACCTTCTCATAGTGTTTACTCTTCATCTTTTGAGGTTTTTTAATGGAATATCCCCATGTCGAATTCATAAGCAATTTGAGTGTCATTGCAAGTTTGGGGTTTGAAGCTTTCCTAATATCATACAGTTGTTGTATGACTTTTCCAACTGTATAGTTCCTTCCCGGGAACTCACCATCTTCGTTTGGAATTCCAGTCGGAATATATTGGACAAACCTCATGTACGCAGCGTTAAGGTCGACATAGTATATCTTTTCGTTTGAGTCGAACTTGTCGCAACCAATGGGTCCAGTTCGTGGAAATTCAAGTGAGTCTCTTATCTTCTGAGAAACTTCTCCTGTTATCTCATAAACATCGTCGAGGCAGCCTGTTTCATATAAAACCTTCTGACATAACTCTGATGCTCTCCAATACAATTTGACGTCAATTGGATGTCTCAATGGAAGTTTGTTTATAGCATCTTGAAGTTCTTGCAACCTCATTGGAAGTTCTTCTGGTTCAGGTTGGTATCCGAACAATCCAACTCCTTTTGGAACTGTGTACTTCTTTTGTGCTATAACTTTGTCTGGAACAACTTTTGGTCTTGCTAACAATGAAAAGTTTGTTTCGTCTTTTGGTACAAAAGTTTCTGTCAGCTTGTCATCTGGAATTGGTTCCAACAAGCCTTTCTCGAAAAGAATGTTAACAGCTCTGACAATGTTGCACTTGCCTTTTCCGAACAATGGGTTTGTAAGACTTTCGTTCAACATGAAGTGGTTGTGGACAAGTACAATCTTCAACCATGGTAATTTGAAGTCAACAACATAGTCGTCATGTGAAGAACCTTTCTCAGTCGGAATGTTAACTCGGATATTGACATTTGCCAACGGTGCAACTTTTGACAATTGACCTCTAAGAATGTACCTTGTTTTCACACATGACTCAAGATACTTCATCTTCTCATCTGTAACAAGACCAGAGTTCCTGAGACATGTAAGAATGCAAGGTTCATTGACAATTGTTTCAATTGAATTGTAAATTCCATACCTTGTCAAGTCAATGTCAGACTTATTTCTGAACGGGAAATAACCAGCATGTTGTCTGACTACTTGAGGGTTAGGTTGGTACCATTCGAACTTCACGCTTGCAATTCCTTCAATTGCATTCAAAATGTCTGAGTCGGAGTCAAACATTTGTTCTCTCTTTGTAGTCTTGAAAGCGTCAAGAAGTTGTGCGGCTGTTGTGACATTGCCATGTGCATAGTAAATATGACCATCCAAATCTTTTACGGTTAGTCTGAGATTGTGTCCTTTCTTATTTCCGTCTTGTATGGCAGCAAGTACTCCCATGAAGCCTTCTTTGTTCTTTCCATCGTCAAAGTTTACTGTAAAGGTTCGACCAGAAGTAATTTGACTTCTAACTTCACGATACTTTTCATATGCATATCTTGTTCTTTCCATGGGAGCATGTGTGTCTTCACCTTTTCCTTTTTTCCTTCTCAAAGGATGCAATTGTTCGTCATGTTTCCAATAGAATCTGGCAAAGCCGTCGTGTCCTTCAACTTGAGGTTCATTAACATCGAAAGGCATGTCCATAAGACGCTCTTCTTCTAACCTCTCTAGTCTGTTTGGATAATTTGCGCGTGCTGTTTCCAAGTCCATTTCGTAGCGAAGACCAGACAATTTGTCATAGACTTTTATGGGTCTTCCCTTCCTATATTTAAACTTCTTCGAAACTCTCCAACCATATCTTTGCAACTCTGCTTTTATTCTAGCAGACTTTCTGTCCATTCTATATGGGGGCATTTTTATAAAAATAAAAAAATATTTTTTCCTTTACTTTACATAACCACCTGCTGCCATAAGTCTTTGACGCCAACCCATACCAGCTAATGAAGGTTGACTTGGTTTAGTTTGGAAACTAAACTTTGTTTTGGTTTATCTTCAGTTTTTGGTTTTTCTTCTTCTATTGGTTTTTCGTCACTTTTCGGTTCCTCTGACTTTACTTCACTTGCTGGAACAGTTGTGTCGTCAACATCTTCATAAATATCATATGCCATTTGTTTTTGTTTTCCTTTCAACTTTTTGTGTTTGTTGTAAAGTTTAGAATATTTCGACTCTAAGTCAATGAGATGTTCTATAATGAACTGTTGGTCAGTGAAGTAAACTTTTCCATCTGTTGTCTCGAAAGCTCCTTCAGACTTCAATATTTTATTTGTGAGAGTCTGTTTCTTTTTTGAGATACTAGCCGTTCCATTTTTATGAAAAGTGACTTTGTAGTTAGAGTTTGTATTTCCAGACCTGGCACTTTCTATTATTGAATTTTTCTCTTCATCTGTAAGTTCTTTGACAGGTTTTGACAATGGTTCTGAACTTTTTGTTTGTGGTGTCAAATCTACCGTTTCAACTTCTTCGGTCATTTCATCTCAGTAAAAAATTTTAGTTTGGTTTGTTTTCAACTGGTTGTTTAGGTTTTTTAAGTCGGTCTAAAACTTCCTGAGGTATAGGAAGAACTTGACAAACACGTTGTGTAACTGCTGGAAGCCGACAAAGCCATCTTGAACCCATTTGTCTCAATGCTGTATTGTTCATTTCATCTCAGTAAAAAATTTTACATTCCCCACGTTTGAGGTGGTTGAGGTTGGTTGTTGTTTACCCACTGTTGTGCATGGTTATATCCTCTGTTAAAGAATCTTTCACCTTGGTCCATATAGTGCCCTGCTTGGTTATAGTAGTCATTTGCTTTGTTATAGTAGTTTCCTGCTTGTCTTCCTACATTGTCCATCCAGCCTTGAACTTTTCCTCTTGTTTCAGGATTTGGAATAAGATTTGCTGCATCTCGTGCTACCTCCCAACCTTTCTGTACAGTTTGTATAATAGGTTGTGCTTTCTCTTTCAGTATACCTAATGTACTCAAAATCTTCCTTCCAATTCCAAATGCACCTCTGGCTATTGTTCCCACTGCGGGTAAAAATCTGGATGCGACTCCTGCTAATGCGCCAAATAAACCCATTTCTTATGGGTTAAAAATGACGAATTCAAACAAGGACCCGTATGTTTCTAAAGCGACAAAGAAAGCACTCATGGTAAAATCTTTAGTTCAACACCAAATGCTTGGTTTATGGATATCTTGGAAAACATTCCGAGGTATAGAGAAGATGGACCACCATACTGGCTAATATTTGTCGGTCAAAACACAAGATACTGTGAAGCCATACCATTATGGTCCAAAAATATTTTAGATGTGAAAACTGCTTTGACAATATTCGTTGACAAATACCATCCAACAAAACTGACATCTGACTGTGAAAGTTCTTTCAAATCAGACGATATTAAAAACTATCTGCGTTCAAAAAATGTAAACCAATATTTCATTGTCGACCAAAACCATTCTGCTCTTGGTGTCATTGACAGTTGTATAAAAATCTTAAGAGACTTAAACCAACCACAAGGTGGTGAAGCAAATGAAATGTCATATGACGACAAGTATAGACACTTCTCCATGGCAAAGATGAGACAAGTTTTAAATATTTACAATACCCGTAAACAAAAAGGTTTGGGAAACCACTCCCCCGAAGAAATGAAAAACAACCCCGACTTAGAGAAAGACTATATATTTAATAGTTTAGTCAAAAGAGACAAACAAGAAAGAATGCCGGGCTTCAAACTTCAGAAAGGTGACAAAGTAAAAATAGAAATACCTAAACGCGACCCATATGAAAATACTATTGACTATGACAACAATGGGAACTCGACAGGTACTCACGTTCGTGTTCGTAAAAATAGAAGAAAGTATACAAGAGAATATTATGAAGTTTTAGGCAAACATGGCAAAATGTACAGACTGCAAGCAGAAGATAAAACTACTATTGTCAGACCTCGTTTCAAACTTGTCAAAGTTCAAGGTGGTATACTTTCAAAGACAGTTCCTAACAAATATAAGACAACTCCTGACGAATATGCTAAAGAAGTTGAAAATGACGACTAAGCATTTCTATACCATGCGTAAACTGTCATGTAAGGTGGCATGTAGTCTTTACTTTGTCCGTTGTTTCTGCATATCCTGTAATGCGATGTGTATGGCTTCCTCCTCCCTGAGTGTCATCCAGTAACAATTTATAGCAAACTTAACGTCGTCTTTAACATCATATCCTTTACCTTTTGTCATTCCTGTCCAATCCCAATATCTATGCTTATGCCAACCTGCTTCAGCTGTAGTTAAATTTATGTAATGACTGTGTGCAGGTAGGTTTTCACCTGAAATCGTTTTACTTCCACCTGTTTCCTTTGAAGAGTTTGCACAATACAAAAACCTGTCGACTATTTGAGTCCAAGTTCCAAAACCAAGTACTACTTCTGGTCTGGTAGAGTTCATTGACGTATAAATAGAACCTATAGGATATACTGTTTGAAGTATTTCAGTCTTTAACGTTTGAAGCTCTGTTTTGTCAGCTTTCTTATCTAACTTTTCTTGAAGTTCATTTACGTCAGAGATGCTATGTGTATGATGTTTTTGTGGGTATGTTCCTTCTGTCCATGCGAAAATATACTCTTTTGTTGCATCTACATATCCAGCTATCCATGTCGAGTCTGCTTTTGTATTCCTTAACTCTGTAACACCTTTCTCAAGCTCTTTCAACTGTTGTCCATCTTCCATTAAACCTCTGGTATGACTTGAAACCGTTTGTGTCAACATATCTACAGTTTCTTTGTCGGCTTTAAGGTCTAAACATCCTGAAACCCATCCTGTATCGGCTTTAGTTTTTAAAATCTTTGTTGTCCGTTCATGGTACCATTCAACCCTTTCTATAATTTCATTATCTTTTTCATCCACATATTCCTTATCTGCCTTCTTCACTAACGCACTAGCCACATATGCTAACTCATCGTCAACATATGTTTTATCTGCTTTCTTTTCAACATCCTCTTTTGTTGCATATGTTGCATCTGCTCTGTCATGTTCTTCTTGAACTTTTTCAATGACATACTCTTTGTCAGCTTTGTTGTCAATATCTGCTTTCAAAAGAAGTTCTTTTATAGGTTTCTCGTTTAAAGTTCCTTTTGTTGGATTTACACAGACAGTATGGTTCTTATTGTCTTGAAACAGAAACTCATCTGTCATTGGGTTTAATGTCAGTTTTAAGTTTCCTTCTTTCAATGACTCAGATATCTTAGAATAGTTTGAAAAGTTCGTTGTGTTCTTATTTAGAGCTTGCACAATGAGTTGTCGGTTGTGTTGTATTTCTCTCATAGACGCTGTTTCTTTCGACATTTTTATTCTAGATAAAAAATGCTTCCAATAGAAAAAGAAAATTCAAGAGTTGCTACAACTAAACCATTAGATGAACTTTTTACGAATGTCGGTCAAAAGTTTGAGACAGAGACCGTAAAGCATGAAGGCTATCGTTTTGACTACCCCTTAAGATGGCTAAGAGACCCATCCGTCACAAAAGCTGTTGGCTTTCGTAGAATGAAGTTCATTTCAGAAGCCATACATGGTTTCCCATTTACGGTCGGTTTTGAAGTTCGATACTATAACAAAGAAAAACGTACGTATGAGAAATTTGTACAGGGAAAACTTTTACAAGTTAGTTTGCTTGTAAACTTAGAAACAACTCTTCAAGCTTTTCAAGAAAAAATAAACGATATCTATCTCGAATATGCAAACCAGTTTAACATTGACGAAGGAGAGTACCATCTCGATATTTTATATGACAGGAAAAATGCAACTGTTAAAATCAATAGAATAGAAGACCTTGGAGAAGACGTTTATATTTCTACAAAATATAACAACTTGGCATGGTATAGATTTTTGAGGATGTTAAATCAGCCTGCAGAATATCCAGTACACCCGAACTTTTATGAAGTCGAAAACCCTAATGGAACATATGAAAATGTTTTCGACTCAGATGCTATTATAGTTCATGCTTCATTTTCTGGTGCACAAAACTCTTTTTTATGCTTGGCAAATGACTTTTACGAAAAACCTACAAAGCTATATGAACCACCGAGTGGAAGTATTTCAGACTTTCAAGTATGGTTTACAACAGATGGAAGAAAGAGAATAGTTCCATTATACCATGCGTTTTACTTAGAACTTAGCTTCATATACAACTACTATCGAACGGTAAAAATATAATTTTAATACGGTTGAGGTGTTGGATTTGGTTGCCAACTAGACTGTGGTGCAGGTTCAGGCTGTTGTATAACAGGAGCTTGTTCTTCTGGTTCAGGGTCTTTAGGTATAATACCAACAAACTGACCTACTCTTTTACCAATATTTTTGACTCCGTTCCAAATTCCTCTTCCGACAGATTTTATTCCATTCCATATACCTCTTCCAACATTTCGAAAGAAGTTTCCTATTCTTCCAAAGAAACCCATTTACTACGTGTAAAAATCTAATGTCCGCCTAGTCTCTTACGTTTCCTGTTGAGTTCCATAGCATTCTTTAACTGGAGCTCATACATTCTGTTTCTCCTCTGGTAGAAAACATATTCTGGGTCAACTCCTGTGTTCGCGTCATCTGCATAAAGTTGTTTATATCCCACTTCGGGGTTTGTATAAAACTCTTTCCATCTCATATTTGCATACCATGGTGGCAAACCTAACGCAGCGTCATTTGACATGGCAGTTTGCATTTGTACATCTGTTGGCACTTGACCATAGTTTGCCATTGCAGTTTGTATTCTAACTTCATTTGGAATATTCTCTGGGTTTGGTTGTCCAGGTTGCTGTGCATTCGCTAAGTTCTGTGCGTCCATTTTAATATTAGATAAAAATATCTCTTACGAGTACATATGCTGAACATTTGCTGGTATTGGCTCATCTTCATATTCTCTATATCTTTCTGCCACGTCAAATAAGTAAATGACACAATGGAAAAAACCTAAAACAAGTAGTCCTATTTCAAACCACATTTACTTACCAATAAAATTTCTTTGTTATGACACTTTTTCCGGTTTATAGGACCTCTCTCATATTCTATCTTGTCATATCTAAACTCATAGTCATGTATGTCCTCTAACCATCTCATGACACTTTCCAAACCACTTTTATCGGATGTAAAGTAAAAGCATGGATGGTTATGTAAAACGTCTAAAGTTTCTAAAGAGTCTCTCAAAGTCCAGTCTACTTGGTATTGAAAATCGCATGTGTTATAGAACGGCGGGTCTACTATAAAGAAAACATTTTCCTTGTTTTTATATTTTTCATACAACTCTGTCCAACGACATCTCACAAACTCTATACCCTCAGTATATTTTTCTATGTTCTCTTTGAAAACCTTTGTATAGTTAAGATATAAAACGTTTGACATAAGTGTTTCAATGTCATGAACTCTTATAGAACCACTATACAATAGTCTAGCAGATATACTATCCCAGTCAATATACTCTGCTTTTTTCAAAACCTCTCTGACAGTATTTTTCTTATCTAATGGTATACGTTCCATCTTACCTATAGGTATCTTTTCTTTTAACTCTTTCAATATTTTGTTTGTGTCTGGTATATGTTTGAGACGGTTCATATAGTTGTCGAAGTCATTGCATATAATCTTTGAGTCAGGAAATACAGTATGGCACAAATGGGATATATAGAAACTTCCACCGAACAAGTCTACAAATGTTAGACCATTCGGTAGTTTCTTAAGTTCTCTCAATAGAATATCTTTACATCTACTCTTATTTCCAAAAAAGGGTAGCGGTGGTTTTGTAAAATTCATTTTATATTTAATAAAAATGTTTTTTTCCTGAAAAGCTACAGAAAAGTGACAAAACATCTTCGGGGCTAGAGGGCACGAAGTGCCTGGAAGCCCCAATACCTTTTTTTTAATTATTTGCGGATATTCCTTCAAATTCAATTTGTGTATGATTTGGGCATTTAAAAATCTGCCCGCGAAAAGGAGTTAAAAATGTGTGGATTTCTGTTTTTTGCATTTTAACATGTGAGTATAAACAAATAAGGATACAAATGGACAAGTGAAAGTTTTATTGAACGTGCAGTCATGTGATATATTAACGAGTGTTTTTTACATGCATCAAGAGATCCATTGGATCTCTTGTATAGCAAATACTAATAAAGGTCGAAGTTGAAAATGAATTCGAAACATATCCAGAGATATCATTTGCCGGCATAGATATCTTAGAGAGCACCTACACTTGGCATTCAAACTCCCATTCATTCGGGTTATTTTAGAGTGAAAAAGAGTAAAAAAGACGATCAAAACACTCTCAATTTCCTACTTTTTAACTTTTTTTCCCATTCTAGAATGATCCATTCATTCCATAATTTTATTAACATTTCTCATTTTTTAAACAGACACAAATTTTTGAAGCTGGTATTATTTTACTTCATTCTTCAATTCAAATTTTCTAACTTGATTTGTGGGTAAATTTAGAAATTTCAATTTGCAAATTGAAAATTCAAATATTCTTTATTCATTATGTCGATAATTTTACAAATAATCTTTGATAAATTTAAAAATTAAAGTAAAATTATTAAATTGAATACAATAAATGAAGAGATTCATTTTTTAGCTTGAATAAGAAGTTTTGCTATTTCTTTCAAATTTTTTGATGCTGCATATTGAATAGCTGTTAGACCAGAACTATCTTTCGCATTGACATCTGCATTATTTAATATAAGCAATTCTGAAACTTCATATTTTTCATTTTGTACAGCCAAATGAAGTGCTGTTTGTCCAAAGTTATTTTTTGCATTGATATTGACATTATTTGAAATAAGGATTTCTGCTGTTTCTTTACTATTATTTTTTGCTGCTTCATGAAGAGGAGTTTGTCCAAAGTTATCTTTTGCATTGATATTGACATTATTTGAAATAAGGATTTCTGCTGATTCTTTACAATTTCGAATTGCAGCATAGTGAAGTGGAGTACTTCCAATTTCATCTTTTGCTTCGATATTGGCGTGTTTTGAAATAAACAATTCAACAGTATCTTTGCAATTAAAATATGCAGCACAGTGAAGTGGACTTCTTCCATTTGCGTCTTTTGCTTCGATATCGACATGATAATTAATGATAAACTCTGCTATTTCTTTACTATTATTCCGTGCAGCAGCATGAAGAACGGTTTCTTTATTTTTATCTTTTGCTTTAATATCAGCTCCTGCTGAAATTAGTAGTTCTGCTGTTTCTTTACTGTTTCCAATGGCTGCATAATGAAGAGCAGTTCTTCCCAAATTAGTTTTATCTTTATCAACATTTTTGATGTGCGAAATAAGAAGTGCTGCAGTTTCAATACAATTATTTACTGCTGCTAAATGAAGTGGAGTGCAACCATTATTATCCTTTATATGTATATCTGCACCACTTTTGACAAGTAGGCACGTGGCATTTAAAGCATTATAATTTGCTGTATAGTGAAGAGCTGTCCACCCATTTTCATTTTTTTCATTGATATTTGCACCATGCGAAAGAAGAAGTTGAACAATATCAATAAGATCTCCCCATGCTGCAAAATGGAGAGCAGTATTTCCTTTGAATCCAATTGCATGTTGATTGATGTTTGGATGTTTTGATAAGAAATATTGACAAAGAGGTAAATAATGGAAACATGTTGAATACGGAAAACATGCATTGAGATTTTTTGTTTCATTATAATACATGCAGTATGCTTGAACATTTTCATGTCCGATACAATCTTCTAAATGAATTTCAATGTGGTATTCATTTACTAAATGCATAATAAAGTTTGTGTTTCGTGAAATAATTGCATATTTCATACTTCGACTATCCGGTTTGAATTTCTTTAAACATTCATTAATTATCTCTATATTTCCACCTAAATAAGAAAATGCAAGACAATAACTGGTGATGTTTTCTGATTTGAATTCTGTTCTCAAAAATTTGAAACATTTAACCGCACCATGATAACAACATAACTCAAGATATGAATACCCACCTTCATTCTCTGGGTAAAAATCGCTTTTAAGCTTATGGTTATTATTAAATTCTTCTTCTTGTGTGCGAGAAATAAATAATCGTATGTCATCATCCATAATTGCACGATAAATTGTATGTGGTTTATGAATATCAAATGAAATATTTTGTTTTTCATATTCAATAAATTTTATTGGATGTTGTCCACTTAAAGTAAACTTGTATTCCTTGTAAAAAAAGTAATCAAAAATATCTGAAATATGCGTAACTCTTTTGGGACGATATTCTTGATAAATTTTAATGAACAATGACCAACAAGATCTAATGTAACGATTTTGATAGACAAACTCATCAGAAATCCTTTGCATGATCTCAACTGGCGAAATTCTCAGTATTCCAAAGCATCGTACTTTGATAAATTCGAAAATTTTGTTGATTTCATCATCATCAAGTGTTTGAATCTTGTATATTGCATCGTAAGCAGCAAAGAAATCATTTGAAATCTTCCATCAGCTCTCTAAATGCATGCTGGTCATCCTGAGGTTCCATATTCAACAATTATGACAATTTTTGAAGAAAAAATAAAATTGAATTAGAAATCCCATTCATTATTCAATTATTTTTGAAAGTGTTTCCAAAATCTTTGAGAATAATTACATAATAAAATTAAACCGATCATCCTTATCAAAGAGATGATATCATATTAAATAAAAAATAAAATTGAATTAGAAATCCCATTCATTATTCAATTATTTTTGAAAGTGTTTCCAAAATCTTTGAGAATAATTACATAATAAAACAATGCCAATCATTTTTCTTAAAGAGCATTCTGAAGTTTCCATTATGAGATAAAAAATGTAAATAGCTCCTTACATGGAAGGAATACATGAAGGGTTACATTTTGCTTAGATCAAGATCACAAATAATTAATAATAATTTTTATT